TAAGTGTCCCCAACTAAGCAAGCCAGAGGAACCAAAACTCCATCGGTGACAGAATGGAGAAAACACTTTGGGAGAAACCAGGCTCAGTCGGGGTCTAGTTCTCCTCTGGCCACGAACCAGCAGGTTGATCCATGCTGCAGCAAAGTCAGATTGTGCGGAGGACTCATCTGGTTCCTGTGGTCTTGTCCTGGTGGCCGTCTAGGAGACAAGGTCTTCACTGGGGATCTGTCTCTGGGGCACAGAATACACTTCACTCATAGCTCCTCTGGAATAGAGGGCTGCATTGGGATTGGGATCGCAATGGGACGCAAATCTCGCGGGAGAAGGCAGTTTTACCTTTAATGCCCGGGTCCTGCGATTTTGGCTTGCTGTGGTAGTCAGTGTTACACAGTAACATCTATATATCTATCTATCTATCTATCTATCACTATAATAGTATATTTTAAAGGGGTCATAGGATGCTACATGCACTTTTTCAAGTTGTCTGAACTGAAATGTGTGTTGGCAGTGTGTGTACACAACTAGACATTAAAAAAATAACAAAACTAATAATCACAAAATTACAATAACTAAATAGATGAAAACAAAATAAAAATAAAATCCAATTGTAAATATTTTTTAAAGACTATAATAGTATATTTTAACAAATATATAGACACATTTTAAAAGATCAAAAAAAGAAAAATGACAAAAACACAAAACAAAATTACTAAAACTAACTAAAATTGACAAGAAAACAGAAAACAAAAATTTAATATAATAAAAAATATTAAAACTATAATAGAAAATATAGACATATTTAAAAAAAAAAAAAAAAACTAAAAAGTAACTAAAAGTTAAATGAAAGCAGAAAAAAACATTAAAATCTAGTTCAAATAAAACTAAAACTATAATAGTATACCAATGATACCAAAATAACAGACATTACATTACATTAGTACTGAATGATTACCATGTTAATGCACCATGGTTTCTTCAGGGAAAAAGGTCATACAGCCATACTTTTTTTGTTAGTGATGTAGTCAACTTATTTACAGTTATACATCCACACACACACACACACATATATATATATATATATATATATATATATACACACACACACACACTTTTTTTCTAACATAAAAAATTACATTGTTATAACCCAAACAAAAACCGCAGACTTTTCACATTTTGAGTTTGAAAGAATCTGTGAGAAAATAACTAGAGCTCTGTGAGATGGATTTAAACATGGTAAAATGAATTTAATTAATATCTGAAAGCATAACATTTAATAAACAAACATTATGAATGACTGTGACTCCAGGTCTAAGGAGAATTAGCAAATCCAGATCACATTTGTGCTTGTAGATCTACAGTACATGTGAACTTCACAAAAACACACACACACACACACACACACACACACACACACACTCGCTGGGCTGAAATGACAGCAGGAGCCGGTGAAGTAGAATTGTTTTTTAATTGACTCAAATCCCCCAGTACAGTAAAAGATCAAGGCCGTAACTAAACTCTTCCTCCTACAACACCATAGAAAAATACCCTGCTCGTCTGAATGAGGCAAGCTATGGAGCAGAAGACGGGTAGATGAGTGAAGCAACTAACTAACTAACTAACTAACTAACTTCTCGACTGCAAACTCACTTACACTCCAGGCCAGTACATCCTTAAATATTCATAGGTTATGCAAAAATCCATATGGTGGATATACCTCGAAAAACAAAAAAACAAAACCTCATATATCAGTTTACATCCAAAACAAACTCCAAACCACAGGGTTACAGATTCACAAGATCAAACGAAATCAACAACACAAGTCCTGCGTCTTCACGTCTACATCTACATCAGAGCTGCTCCAGCAGAGCGTGCGCTTTGTCCTGCAGGACTTTAACATGACGCTCAATCGGCCGAACAGTATTTCGTTTCATACTTCTAAGCGTTCGCTGAAGAGGGGAACGATGAGAGAAATACAGGCTGTGAAACTTCTAATGAAAGTGTAACGTGTCTAAATGAACTCAGACGCAAACAAAACTACTAATTAACTGAAGTCTAAAGAGGAGAATCGCACGAAACCGGTCAGGAACATACATGACAGAAGTCACAATTCACCCAAAATAACAAGAACGAAATAAGACATTATTTTGCAAGAAGAAAATCAAGTTTTTTGCATTGCGACATTATTGTTACTATTAATTAAATACGCATTTATCCTAAAAGTTTCACTGTTGCAATGCAAATAATGCACTGCAAAAAAAGTATTTTTGTCTTGTTTTTCAGTACAAATATATAAACATTACTAAATCAAGATATATTTACTTGAAAAACTAAATGAAAGATGTCAAGTACACAGTTTTCTGAGAAAAAAAATAAGTTAAAATTAAGCGACTATATGCTTAAAACAAGAACAAATATCTGCCAGTGGGGTCAGAAAAATAAAACACGTTTATTATTTTTAAGTTTGTTTTTTCAGTGGTAGATTTATTTTCTTGTTTTAAATATAAACTATACATTTTCAGATTTTTTTTTTAAACAAGACTTAATGTTTTAAGTAATTTATCTTAAGTAAATGTGTCTTGATTTAAAAATGTTTAGATAATTGTACTGTAAAACAAGACAAAAATACGGAGTAAAACAGTGTAGTAATAAAATGACGTAATCTGAAGCATTTCTACATCATGGTTGTATGTGTACTGAATTTAGTTTTTTATTGAATAAATCTGTTACAGAAGCTTCCCTTGTACTGTAGTAAAATGAGTGTGTTTCAATAATGAGAATCTAATGAAAATCACATCTGATGATAATGAGAATAACAAACAAATCACGAACAAACAAGTCACGATAATGAGAGCTGCAGGGAAATGTCACGATGCAAAAATCCTGTGGTCCAAAAAACTTTTTCTCCTCATTCAAAATGCAAAATGTCTTATTTCTATCTCTGGATTTTTAGAGTAAGCTCCTGATGGGTTTAGTGCGACTCAGTAGGTTGCAAATGCAAATAAATGCAGCGCTGCATGTCAGAGTCATGTGTGCATGAACATATTTGTGTTCAAATCAAATAATATTGATGTTTCTGCTGCATAATGTTGGAAGGTGGAATAAACGGCATAGTACTGATAATGATTCTGCGGTGGCGTCATGTTCAGGTGTGTGTGTTTGTGTGTGTGTTAGGAGGCCGTGGATGTGTTGGGGCTCCAGCCCATCTGATAGGCTCGTTCCAGCGTTCGCTTACAGTCCTGCATCACTGTACTGAACACAATGTGTGGATACTGCAGCACCAGTCTCTCCACCGTCTCCTCGTTCACCTGCAACAAAACAAACACACACACATTTGCTTTTCATTTGACTCGACGCATTGATTTTTCCTAAAAAGCATCACAAATACACGACACACCATTTGCATTGAAGAAATGATTCCTATATTAATGCAAGACGTCTGTGAGAAAGCTCGTGTTGAGTTTACAGCGAGCGGCTGATGAAACGCAGACGCTCCACATGTTGAGTGAGATAATCACCACACCGCGTCCACAGGGATCCAGGCCAAACCTTCATCATGTGCCATGTCAAGTGTGTTATTCACATGCAGACTGAAGGTGAAGATCTCACATGACCTGCTCTAATCACTCAGGACCTTTACACAGAATATACTGTACATCTGCGGCAAACACCATCTGATGCATGCACTTTGATTTCTGCTGTGTTTTCCAGTACACATATCTAAACATTCATAATCAAGACACTTTTCTTAATTTACTCGAGATGCTAAATGACTTCAGATATTAAGTCTTGTCTTAAGTCATTTTGCTTCTCAAGTAAATGTATCTGGATTTAAGAATGTCTAGATAGTTGTATTGGAAAATGCTGAGAAAGAAAACGTGCAAAAAAACAGAGACAAAAAAAAAAAAAAAAGTCTTT